AATTAGATGAATTGTTGAAAATGTCCACCTTGCGCCTTACATCCATCGAGTCTTCTTCTCAAAGATTGACGTACACGCTCAAAGATACCAGGTGTGTTACGTATTGCCTCGCATGAAGCAACTATTCGATTCCTCAAATCATTCTCATTTTCAATTGGGGTGGTATAAACCAATGCAAATTTCCGATGCCCCCAAAGGAAACGATCCAAAGGATTTAAGTCTGGTGATATGAGAAGGCTTTGACTTTAACTTTGTCACTTTGTTTACGGTTGTGCGAATGATAACTCGCGTGAAGCAAGGCACATTTATGCCAGGAAGATATCTCCAACGCAATTTACCGTTTCGTTAAACATTTGCGAACATTCACCTGTACTTCGAAAACTAAGCCGTTTAGGATACATGCTTATATGGACTTTTTTCCTTGAAATAAACCAAAGAATCGTTCTGTTGAGTATGGCAACATATTTAACTACCACCCTATATATAAAGAACCTTGATTCGATAGGTACGCGTGTCGCTGCACGTGTAAGCGGAGTTTCCGGCGAGTGTCGCTACACGCTTCTTAAAAGCCCACTGCAGTACTGCACGCGTGGCCGTCACGCGGTTACGTATGGGGGGGTTCCGTGGGTTCCCACGGTGAATGTGCATCGTACTTGCGTACACGTCATACACCCATGGGGAACGGACTGCAAGCGTCGTTAACCGAATCATTCGGTCACATGCCACGGAGTTGCCGACCCACAGAAGCGGGCCCTTCTTTACGCCCTCGTGCACACGCGACACACGCCGCCGTCAACTCGGTATTGTCTCGTTGACTTGTGTTATACCTGCAAACGCAGGTGGTCGAGCGAGAGGGATGTCTCTCTAGTATATCACATTATATAAAATGTATGCGGATATCTCGTGTTGTATCTCGCTTGCGGAAAATACGAAGCGCGAGATTGAGTCGCACGTTTGTTTTAGAGGGTCAGATTAATTAAGTGAGATATCGATGAAAGAGTATAAAGGAAAATGATGAGAACGAATTATAATAATACATTAAGAAGGAGGAATAATGGGAGAAAAATTGTGTGAATATAATACGTTCTTTCGTGAATTACATCTTCACAGTTTCCGCTACATTGTGCAATATATGTATACGGTACGTTCTTTCGAGAGATGCAGCATGTATTCTTTAAGGCAGTGAGGCGTTGCCGCACTTGCGGATTGCTGACCAAGACCTTTGCGCTTTTTCTTACGGTATTTATTCACGCACGATCGGATTCCGTGGTTAGGGCAAAACCGAAACATCGCTTTGAAAACGATATTCCTTCGTGTATGGCAGGGAGCAATTGCGCTAAAAAAGAAAGTAACTCGGTCGATTTCGCACATCCGGTCTCTACGATCTTCTCGTGAGTGAAGTGATCGTTTTTACGATAATTAACGGCACACCCAAGATCCATGAAGTCTTTCTGAAGGCGATACTAATTATATATCACTCTTGATTGAGATAATGGAACCCAGTTTGTATTTGTTCGAACGCTTCCGTAAACAATATTGTTGTAAAAATGTACAAATATAATTTTCATAAACAAATTATTTAATTGCCCGACATTCCGTCAGAGAGTTGTGATTTATGACGAGATGAAGTATTTTTGAACAATCGTTTAAGTCCTTCAAAACCATTGAGAAGAGTCATTAATTTCTATTGACATTCGAATGTGTTATTAATGATAGGAGCATTGTAGCGTTACTCTTAATAGAAATTATACATTCGACAACGGATATACTTCGCCGATTGCTAGAGAACGATTTATCACCCAATTCGTTGAATATCCAAATCGTTCCGACTATGCATGTGGCTCGATCGCGAATGAGAACATATATTTAATTATTTCTTTGATTATATATAGCGTGCGTGGCTGCGGTTTTCCGACTCGCATGATATTATACTTTCGAGACATTATCATTTAATTGAAGGTGCCATCCTGACGAGGCGACACTGATGAAGAAGTTAAATGTCGGTGAGCCATTTTAATGCGATTTATTTCCGAATAAAATTGTCGCGTGTTTTCGGACGACAAATATTTTAAAATTCGCGTTTAATGGAATTTATTTAAAAATATACCAACTATTACGATGAGTATTTTATTTTATGTACTTGTTTTACTTGAGCATAATTGAGGGAGTTCATATTTATATCACTAATTTATACTGCTGCAATTATTTGCTTTTTAAGAGAGAGATATTTCTCTGTGTGTTTCGCTCATTATATGGCCCAAAGCTGAGCACGTGTGCCTGCATATTCATATGGTACGATCATTTCTTTGTGTATGTAAAACAAATCGCAGAGGGCCACGCACTCTGCCTTTTACCTGCTCAGAACAGAAATAAGAGTAATTTCACACTCTTTGTTCTCTTCTTTCGGTACATTTCTCCTTTGTTTCACACGTTGCTCGCCTGCAGGTTGATTCTAATATATATGCAGATTGCAGATATAACTTCTATCTCGATTTTATATATTTATATCGCATTTTTTTCCCGTCAATCATACCTTTAAATTAGACTGCACGCAGTTCTATAGAATGTACTTTCAATGTATTCTAACTCCTACTTAATAAAAAAGTTAGGATATTATAACGTACTCTCTAAATTCTTCGGAATGGAATCTCACTCTTTAGAGATTCCACTCTAAAGAATTTAGAGAGAAAATGTGCACAATTTTACATCGATTTATTTATTGTACAAATTTTTTTTCTTTATATTGTTTTACACAGATATAGCTTTAACTAAAATGAATCCACGAGGAACTAGATATAGCTTTAATGAAGTACGATAAATTAAATTGATAAACTCCATAATAAAAAAGTATCACATTCACGATATATTATATAATATTTCAAATAATAACAATATTTAAGATCATTCATAGTCCGTTTTTATTTTAAAATGTCTTATAATATAAATGTATTACTTAAGATGCTATAAATATACGACTCTATGATTGGGTTATTATATTAACAATCTCTTAAGTAACAATCTGTCACTTAAGACAGTGTTAAATATAACTAACTATAAACCGGCCTAAAATATGACTGCTGATATGACTTTATAAAGATAAAAGAGATAGATATTTTATTCGTATTC